AATTGCGACATGAAACTCGAGAACATTATTATTATTATTAAATAGCAACTGAAATATATTTCGTATTTAAGCCAATCCACAACATACCAAGACTAATTGTCAAACATATTCTATCTGCCACGTCCAGGTAATTACAAGTATACACAAACCATACAATACATACATAGTAGTATACTGTCAAAGATTCCCACTTAACCAGGCCAATTGCTTATTTAAGCCATTGCTTCCTTTGTCTCGAAATGGCCCGAGACAAGGCCCGTTTTAATGCCTGTCTCGAGGTATGGATTTCATTGAATAATTTAAATTCGTTTTGAAAGCTAATTAGTGGAGTGTGTCAATCGTGAGGCCACAGTGATTAAGTATGCACGACTAGGACTTTAGTTAATTTGCTTTGAACTATCATCTGCGAAGAGGTATTAGTTTTCATCGATTGGAAGCTTCAACTAACGAAAGATACATGTTTTAAATTAGTTTAAGGCTTTATTGTTAATACAACCTCTCTACAGAGGACACAGATTTTGATTTTAATATTAAATTTCATAGAAGTAGTATGTATATATGTAGTTCTGATGGGCCTAGAAGATTTTTGGGTTGAAAATATTCATCTATTTTGCTGCTTGACCTTTGTCCCTTTTGTCGCCTTCTATCTGCATCTCTTTCTAAATCACTAGCCCCCTCTCTTTCATTTTTTTTTTGTTTAGCCTGTTTATACAGAGTTTTGTCAGTTGTCAGCGTTTCTGGGCGACTGGGGACTAATGTGGCCTCTGCAAACTAATCAGAAAATGTGTTTGCCATTGTTGTTGTTCCCTAGCTTGTTTCTTGTCATTTAGCATAACGACAACACTGAGAAAAATTAACTAAAATATTAAAAGATGTAATAACAAGACTATATGATAGCTGGTATCTAAAGAAATTCCACCATTTTTGCTTCAAATCGTATAGTTCCATTTTTTTATTTCAAATCTTTTAATTTTCTTTTACTTTTATATTTTTTTCAGTGCATTCACAGTGACAAGTTTTGTGTGCATATGTAATTTAGTTTGGTTATTGTTGCCCTTCGTTTGGATCTCGTTTTCGTTTCGTTTTCGTTTTCATTCTGGCTCTTCATTCTTTTTCAATTCAATTCCATTGCCAGGCTGCCGACTGCTGTCACACAGCGTCCCTTTTAGGTCCTGAAGAGTTTGCCAAAATATTGACTGACATTGATTATACACTCATGGGGGTGTTCCCCATCCATCCATCTATCCCTCTAACCCTCTATCCCCTCCGATAACTTCCTCTGCCCTCTGTGATTCTTTGAATGTCATAGACATGAAGCTTATAGCCCCAAGATGCTTGCAGATACAGTTTTTCTATTATGCTCTGTTATGGCATTTGCTGTCTTTTCTATATTTTTTTTTTTTTGTTACCCTCATACCATAGTAGTAGTCCCCTTCCTTCCAAATCACATGCTGTGCCCGGTTAAGTTTAACAGTCAAGGACTTTGTTGTTGAAATGTTGATTTTTGTTGATTTGGCTTAGTGGCTGCCACTCACATCACGTCACAGCCCAGACACATACACTTGGTACGAACTGGGCACTTCCGGGGGGTGTCAGTGATGTCTTTAACTAAAATCTAGCTAAATTGGGGTATAAATAATATTTTAGATAATTAAAAGAATAATTTTTTTCAATGCCAATAAGGACAAGAGAAGCTTTAGAACCATGCTTCTTTTAAATTTCTTAGTTCTGGCTTTAAAAGTGTTAAAAGACCAATCCTCTCTTAAGCAAACACGCGGACAGATCTTTTTTTGGGTTTAAAGAAAACTTGGTAAAGATTTACAGGCGAAAAAGGCCTAGAAAAGCCTTAAAGGTATGTCTCTGTGTAATATCCTAGTTCTAACTTTAATAGTTCTCCATTTAAAGACCCATCCTCTCTTCAGCGGACACGCGGACAGCTCTAGCCAAAAAGTACTTGGCTAGAAACTCTAGCAACACCTCCTTCCATAGTCCGGTTCTGATTCTCCAGCTCTCTGGCGCTGAAATGTTCCAAAGGCAACTAAACTGCTGATGAAATGGATTGTCATGTGCGTTTCAATTTCCGCCAATGACATTCCACACACACACTCACCCACACACTCATAGACACTGGCAGGCACATACACTAACACACCAACACATGTGGCAGTGTGTTTGTGAAAAGTTTGCACAAAGTTTTCCCATGTTTTGTGTGCGGCCATTAAGTGCCATTCCAGAAGCGCTAGAGCGGGGTGTGCTGCGTATGTGTGTGTGTCTGAGTGTGTATGGAATGGGTGTGAGTATGGGGGGGGGAGTATTGGTTAAAGGGGCGTGGCCAAAATGCCTTTGTATCCGTTTTGTGTCTCGCTAATGATAATCAACGGGTGGCCCGCAATGATTCCCCCAAATGATTGAATACAAATTTGAGTGCAGGTTCTGTTTAGGGCAACTGATTGATGAATACGAGCCCGGCATTTGGGGCGCAGGAGTACAAAGAACCCTTTTATTTGCCGATTATATTAAAATCATAACTGGGTGATGGCATTTAAATTCAGTTCGAACTGAAAATCATCAGAAAGTGGCCCACAGTTGAAATTTTGGCCAAAATATAGCCTCCCCAGTTGGCCATATCCCAAAATCCCACTTTCTAAAAGGGTACCCACAAAAAATTTGAAAAAAATCGAAAAAATATTTCGTTGCCAGGTTTTGATGCAGAATGATGGGAAATCAATCCACAAATCGATTAAGGTATTCCTCGCCAGGATCGGATGAGAATTGGCCAAGATATGACCTTCCCAGTGGGCCTTACCCCAAAATCCCACTTTCTGAAGGGGTCTCCCCAGGAAAATTATGAAAAAAATCGAAAAAATATTTTGTTGTGAGGTTTTGATGCAGAATGATGGGAAATCAATCCACAAATCATTTAAGGTATTCCCCGCAAGAATCGGATGAGAATTGGCCAAGATATAGCTAGCCCAGGGGGCCATATCCCAAAATCCCCATTTTTCAAGAGGTCTCCCCAGGAAAATTATGAAAAAAATCGAAAAAATATTTTGTTGGCAGATTTTGATGCAGAATGATGGGAAATCAATCCACAAATCATTTAGGGTATTCCCCGCAAGAAGCGGATAAGAATTGGCCAAGATATAGCCTTCCCAGTGGGCCATATCCCAAAATCCCCATTTTTCAAGGGGTCTCCCCAGGAAAATTATGAAAAAATCGAAAAAATATTTTGCTGTCGGATTTTGATGCAGAATGGTGGGAAATCAATCCACAAATCGTTTAAGGCATTCCTCGCAAGGATCGGATGAGAATTGGCCAAGATATAGCCTTCCCAGTGGGCCATATCCCAAAATCCCCATTTTTTAAGGGGTCTCCCCAGGAAAATTATGAAAAAAATCGAAAAAATATTTTGTTGTCGGATTTTGATGCAGAAAGGTGGGAAATCGATCCACAAATCGTTTGAGGTATTCCTTTCTTGAATCGGATGAGAATTGGCCAAGATATAGCCTTCCCAGTGGGCCATATCCCAAAATCCCCATTTTTCAAGGGGTCTCCCCAGGAAAATTATGAAAAAAATCGAAAAAATATTTTGCTGTCGGATTTTGATGCAGAATGATGGGAAATCAATCCACAAATCGTTTAAGGCATTCCTCGCAAGGATCGGATGAGAATTGGCCAAGATATGGCCTTCCCAGTGGGCCATATCCCAAAATCCCCATTTTTCAAGGGGTCTCCCCAAAAAAATTATGAAAAAAATCGAAAAAATATTTTGCTGTCAGATTTTGATGCAGAATGATGGGAAATCGATCCACAAATCGTTTGAGGTATTCTTTTCTTGAATCGGATGAGAATTGGCCAAGATATAGCCTTCCCAGTGGGCCATATCCCAAAATCCCCATTTTTCAAGGGGTCTCCCCAGGAAAATTATGAAAAAAATCGAAAAAATATTTTGTTGTCGGATTTTGATGCAGAAAGGTGGGAAATCGATCCACAAATCGTTTGAGGTATTCCTTTCTTGAATCTGATGAGAATTGGCCAAGATATAGCCTTCCCAGTGGGCCATATCCCAAAATCCCCATTTTTCAAGGGGTCTCCCCAGGAAAATTATGAAAAAAATCGAAAAAATATTTTGCTGTCGGATTTTGATGCAGAATGATGGGAAATCAATCCACAAATCGTTTAAGGCATTCCTCGCAAGGATCGGATGAGAATTGGCCAAGATATAGCCTTCCCAGTGGGCCATATCCCAAAATCCCCATTTTTCAAGGGGTCTCCCCAAAAAAATTATGAAAAAAATCGAAAAAATATTTTGTTGTCGGATTTTGATGCAGAATGATGGGAAATCGATCCACAAATCGTTTGAGGTATTCTTTTCTTGAATCGGATGAGAATTGGCCAAGATATAGCCTTCCCAGTGGGCCATATCCCAAAATCCCCATTTTTCAAGGGGTCTCCCCAGGAAAATTATGAAAAAAATCGAAAAAATATTTTGTTGTCGGATTTTGATGCAGAAAGATGGGAAACCGATCCACAAATCGTTTGAGGTATTCCTTTCTTGAATCGGATGAGAATTGGCCAAGATATAGCCTTCCCAGTGGGCCATATCCCAAAATCCCCATTTTTCAAGGGGTCTCCCCAGGAAAATTATGAAAAAAATCGAAAAAATATTTTGCTGTCGGATTTTGATGCAGAATGATGGGATATCGATCCACAAATCGTTTAAGGTATTCCTCGTAAGAATCGGGCGAGATATGACAAAGATATAGACTTTCAAGTGGCTCCTATTCGAAACTAATACGTTCGTTTGACTTTTTTGGAAAAAGTTAAAAACCTGCTGATGTGCTTGGCAGTTGCAGCGACCTGTGACCAATAATGATGATGATTACTATGATTATTGTTATTACTATTATAACGAGAGGGCAAAGTGCCACTCGCTGCGGTGTCCAACTATTTTGTTTATGAAAATGGCAAGTAGTTACCGAAAAGGTCGAACTTTAACGTCAACTCCTTTCCTGGCACTTCAACTCCTCGTTCTCGCACTCGAACTCGAACTCCGACGACTTTGACTTCGACTGGAACATGGACTTCCGCTGGGGATTGGGAAACGGAATGGGGAAATGGCAATGGAAATGACTCCTCCACTGACTACTGACTAACGGCAGTTTCAGTTTCCACACAAAGAGAGGGAAAAAAAGACGGAAAACGGGGAATGAAAATACCTACTTGAATAGAAAAGATATAGGATATAGACGCGGGCAAGGAACTCCCGACGAAAAAGAAAAAGCAGAGCGAGCAACCAGCGGAATGAAAGCAAAAGCAATAGCAAAGGGATACGGGTTCAAGTTGGATGAGAATCCCCGAAAAAGGACACAGGACTAAGGATGAGAAGACATCCACAGGATGCGAGACTGTGAGCACCAAAAAGGATCCATTGGCAACTTTGGCCACACATTTTCTTGGTCTTTCGCTTCTCAAACTCTCAGTTTTTGTATCTGTGTATTCTTCATCTCAATGGTGTATCTGTATCTGTGTGTGTTATATGTGTGTGTGTGTATTTGCACCGTTAGAAAAGCGCGCAAAAGTAAAGTTTTTGCTTTGCAAACAACAACCAATAAAACTTTAAGCAATCTTCCACAGCTTCAGTGGGTTAAAGTGGAAAGGTTGGTGCTGGGAGGGGTGGGGTGGGGTCTTAAAACAGGAGGGGGTCTCCACTGTTCTACCCTCTGGCATAACTTTGGGCCCAAATGCCTTGCATACGGTTCAGTTCGCTTTGGTTTTTTGGCCAAAAAGCACTCGCAGAAATATCAATATGATTTAAGGTTTGGTTTAGGGGGTTCTTAGTTAATAAAGACTTTATGTAAAGGTTCTTAGTTAAAGGGGACTTTTTTTAACGGGATCTTAAAGCTTAAAGAAATTTATTAAAGCCTAAAGTTTTCATTAAATTATTTTTTTGAAAGTGTATTTTATTTGTTATAATTTTATTATATTTTATTCTCCCTTTATTATATTTTATTCTTTATGTTATTTGTTGGATTTAATTATAAAAAGAAAATTATAAAATTATAAATTAAATCAAGTTTCATTGATATAATTCTTAATTTATTTATTTTCATTTATTTCTAAAACTTTTCAATGCATTTTTCGCATTTCTCATTACTCTTAGTGTTCCCGTGTTAATTTTTGACATATAATACCTTAAAGCCATATACCTTTGGCTCCTAATACTACATTGCACTTAAATACTAAATTTATTGTATATTGAAATAATCTTATAAAAGGGTAACAATATCATTAAAAAACTGATTCATTAAAAGACTTAAAAAAACACTCTATAAAATTTTAAATATTTTTCTTAGTATTTAAAACATTAACTTGAAAACCAAATTACAAGCCCATAACATCTCCTTTTCTTCTTATTCTCACTGCACTTTCTCTGGCAATTTTCTGGCTTTCCAAAATAAACTCATACTAGTGCATGAGCCACTATAAGTGCCCGAGTCCTGTGGGTGTTAAAAGTGTCCTGTTTTTGTTGCAGTGCTTGTGGGTGTGTCTGTGTGGGTGAGTGTTTTTTTTTGGCCATAGGCAGTCATTTCGACGTCGCCAATGGCCATTTGCAAGCCACACTCCGGCGGGTTCGATGAGAGCAGATTTCCCGTTCAGAAATGCACTAAAAAGTGTTTTTACAATCTTAAATGCATTTTAAAGTTTTTTGTTAACTTTTCAGGTGTGTTTGGATTGGGTTTATGCAACTGAAAGGGTTTTTAAATCCTTTTAGGGATGAGCTACAGTGCACTCCACATATGTAAGCCATTTAATTATGAACTAAAAGTAAGCCTAAAGCATTTGGTATTTTTCTTTCAAAAGTAATTACTATTTGTAATTATTTGTATGGTTTTTTTCGAAGGTAATACTAAGGTAATACCCATTTAATATTTTTGTTTGAAATATCCGGAGAAACCTTTGTGGAGAAAATGCAATTTGATGATTTATTTTTCGGTCTATTATTTTCGTTTTTCCGAATTGTGAGCCTGACCTGAAAAGGCTTAGGCCAGAGAAAATTGCCTAGGACGATGGAAAATGAAAACGCATTATGGCATCGCACAGATACATACACTCGATTGTATTGTGAGGATAAAGTTTTTGGGACTTGCATCCTTTTTCGGGTGTCTCTCCTTTTTTTTTTTAGTTTGGGGCTGTCCGCCCTGTTTTATTTCATTTTATTTGGAAGTCTATTTTTATTTTTATTGGCTCGAGAGAAGTTTTCTGGAGAGTGCCACTCGAACAACGCGCCAACACAAACACAACGCACATACATCTTTACACACACCCCCACATATGCAGTTGCCATAAAGGAAAAGTTGTATTACATTTATGACACTTTTGAATAAATTTTTGTATATTTTTTTGTTTTTTTTTTTTGGGTTGTGCGAGTGTTGGCATATTTCTACCAAGTTCCCCCCCACGTTGGCTGTTTTATTTAACTCGCCATTACGTTTTTACAACCCTTTTCGTTTACTCACCACCCTCCTGCCACCCCACCCATCTCACCCACCTCGCAGGATATTTCGCAGGAATTTCTCCCCATTTTGTTGCCATTTCTTTGCCCGACTTTACTTTTTTTCCACTCCACACAGTACGGTTGTGTTCACAAAGCGGCAAAAGCAAACAACGCAGAAGGCAAACAACGTGATAAACTTGGTGGCCAAAAAGGACAAATCAGCGAGGCAGGATAATACATATAAAAATATAAAAGGACATTCCATCAAAATGGATGAAATGAGTCAATCGGGGAGACGACGGCTGAATGTCGGGGCACGCACTTCATCAAACTATGGTTTCCGTTAAGAAATCAACAAAAGGACAAAAAAAGGGTTTATGGATTATCCTGAGAGGTCTTCAAGGACCTACCAAGACCTTACAGTTTTCCTTAATATTAATCCCTTGATATTAATTGCTATCGAGATGACCTCTTCGCAATTCAATAGTCAAATGGCACAGAATAATTACAGGTGATTTCCGTACATTGCAATTAAAAAATCCGCAAGATATTGATACTGAAAATGGAATGAGTCCATGTGTGTGAGTTTTCCAGATGATGGCATGTCATCAGAAAAAATCTGCAAAAAAAAAAAAGAGAGAAAGAGAATGAAGGAATCCACACCCGTGTGTGGATGTGATAACGATGCTCTGACATCCTGACGTCCTTCTCCGTTTGGTGGCTCCTTTCTCGCCTCAACTTTTATTTTATTTTTTTTTTTGTCCTTGAGAGCCTTGCCATTCATTCCATGGCGTACATTTCGCGCAATTTATTTAACTTGATTTGCTGCAATTTATTTCAAGTGTTGTCGTTTATTTAAACACTTCACATGCGACCACACACACACACATCCTAGGGCATTCTAGGGACGTGGCGAATGCACCGCAAGAAAAATACCCTTGAAAGTGCTGCTGCTTAATTGTATGCCACTTACTGTTGCACAAACATCCATCCCTACATACATATTTTGAGGCAAACAATTTTGTGCAATTAACCCCTTTGATGTAATAATAAATTAAATTCTCCGGTGGTGCTGTCCCCTCCTCCCCCCCTTAGAATTTATCCAGTTTGGCAGCACAGGACACCCCACATTCATCCTTCCACATACATTTGCTTTAACAGTTTGTCTTCCATTCATAAAATTATTCAAGCAAATTTTATTTGCACAAATGTACGCGACTTGTTTGCCTTCGGCTTTGTGACCCACAGCATGGGCGTGGGTGTGGGTGTGAGTGTGGGAGTGGGTGTGGGCGTGGTTAGGGGGGGGCTTGAATGTCTGGCTTACTATCTTGCGAGTTAGTCTTGTGGAAGAGACCGAGGGGAAGCAAAAAAAATATGCCACAGTGGTTAAATGGCCTCTCAGACTAGATCTGATTAGTTGTTTAATTTTTCTTAATATTTAAATTATATTTAAGATGTTTTTTTTAATTTTAAATGTTTATTTAACAATCTTTTAGTATCTCTATATTTTTTAAAGTTAAATCATCTGACTTTTCTTGGTACTTTGTTGTACTGACTTTCCGGACCATTTCCTGGCCAATGTTTTGCATTCTCCCATTTAGCTTTTTTGCTCTCTATTGCTCTATCTATTGCGTTTTTGCTATAAACTGGGCGTGGGGCGGTCAAAAGGGGCGTGGCTGGGCAGGGACTTAGTGTCTGTTCGAAGCTTGCCAGCGAAACACTTTCAAGTGTTCATCATTTTCCGCTGCTAATAGCGCTCATTTATTTTATTGACAGCCGTTTCCGCATAGCGTTGTATAGGTTTTTTGCTCTTTCTTTATAGAAAGATACTCTATAAAAGAAGGGTATGGGGATTTTTTAAAAAAGACTTAAGATAGTAACTCAAACCATTCTTGATTGCTTTTTTAAAGAGCATCTACTATTCTCAGTTTCTCAACAAAACCTTCTCTTTCTAATTTGTTTTTTTGCATAAAATTTTGCCTTTTTTTCTTCAGTTTGTTTGCGGAAGCAAGACTTTTGCTTGGTAAAGTGTGGAAATTAGTTGATTTTGATGCGAACATCGTTTGATCTTGGCCAGCAAAGTGAAATGATGGGCACTCGACTGGCTTTCTCCACTCACCGCTCACCTGAAAAAGCAAATCAATAAAAAAAGCAAAATAAAATCGCAAAGAAATGCCCATAAAATGAATGCCCAGCAATTTGCATGCGGTATATGGCAATGTTGCTTACTGGGCCATAATTAATTTTTCTTAATTTCTTTCTGGCTCCTCTTGCTATATATATAGTATATGTATATATATTTTTTTTATATCTGGAAGCTGGAGAAGCTGAGTAATTGATAATATTGAATGCTGGCAGGACATTGCCAAGTGAAATCCATTAGTGAGTATAAATTAATCCTTGTATAAATCATTAACACAACAGCAGCAGCACCACCACCACCAGGAGCTGAAGGAGCAATACAAAAAAAAAAAGCACATGCAATCTGGGCCAAGAGTCGATGCAGTGCTTCACATATACATATATATTATATAAAATAAAATACGTTCAGGTATCCTTGATGTACGTGTGTTGAGAAGTTTTAATTGAAGC